TTTTTCCTCTGAGGCGCACCCCCTCCTTCCTGGGTCCATCTACATTTGAGATGGTAGTTTTAAGAGTCTGGGTTTCCTTTGTGATATTTTATTATAAGATTCCTTTTATTTCGAAAAAGGAAATTGTTCACTTGTTTTGGAGTCTCAACTAATTTTAAGATGTTCTCTCTTGGCACCAATGATTAGTCATCTCTCAGTACAATGGGTGAAAAGGTTGAAAAGCCCTGTTCTAGTGCACAGCTCTCTCTCATAGAATAAAACATTAAAAATTGAATATTTTTTTGTAATTGTTGTTCTAAACTGTCCACAGTTGTTGGATATGAGATGAGTGGCAAATATATTTCATAATAAAATGTATTTTACTAAAAGCCAAGTGGCTACAGTACATCAAAGCCAGAACTAAGGTTTTGTACATGAAAGCTTCCCAGTTAACTTTCCCTTTCTTGTTTCACCCCCCTATTTCCCATTTGTACAGTCACATTCAAACAAGTTGCTTTGGTAACTGTCCCTGCAAAGGCGGGTTCGATCTTGAGTGTTACATTCCATTTCCCAAGCACGTGACCTTGGAATGATAAACCAATGTCTCGGGATGGTACTAAGCTTAGTTTTGGTTTCCCTGTTCCCCCACCTCCGGTTCCTCCAACTCCCTCTTCCTGTAGTTTATGCCAGGGTGGCATCTAGTGAAACAGGTCTAGAGCGAAAGATGGCAGTTCTGACATTCACACACACACCCTTGAAAAAGGGCTGATCCTAAGGGAAGAAAAGAGAAAAAAGTATTAGGATTCAATGAATTTTATCAGGGTATTGGTTGTGGAATTTGCAAAGTAGGCATGGGGAATCACACGTTAGGCATTGACCCACTCTGTCTCACAGGGCGGAAAATCTTTCCAGAGGATCAGGTACTGGAGCCAGCCCTGGTGGATCTGCGAGTCAAGAATTCCTTCACCTCTAAGTTTTGTTCCCCTTCAATTAGGATTGGGGCCAATGGCAGCTTCATTGCGGGGCACAAGGGAGACACAACTGCGGGCTTTAGAAGGCTGCAGTGGAAAACAGGATGGATGCACCTGAGATTTTGGGCCAACTTTAATTCAACTGTCACTAGATTGATGTCCCTGATGGTGGGGAAAGGACCGACATATTTTGGTCCCAATTTCTTCAAGAGTTGCCTGGATTACAGGTACTTGGTGGAGAGGAACACTTCGTCTCCAACTTTGAATTCCCTCTGGGATGGTCTCTTTTTATTGGCGTATCTTATGAGATTCTCTCGCGTGTTCCCCTTGCGAACAACTGGCCATGTGTGTTTTAGCCTTGGGATACCCCACTGCTTACTTTCCTCCATGTAAATGTAGTTCCATTAAGGACTACACATTGAGTGCACTTGTCAGCCAGTTATGAATCCATCTGGTAGTGATGCTATCTAATCCCATTTTTCTGCTTATTGTCTAAAATTATAATTTTAACAAATTTGTAAATCTCTTGTTCATCTACCTGATTCTGTTCCTTCACATTTCTGTATCTTTTCTTTCTATTTATTTTGCCCAGAATTGTTAAAAAATGCATTTTTAAAAATGATTAAGCAAAGGTCAAAAGCACAAGAAGGAAGTTTTGCTACGCCTCATATCTCACAAGGCACTCAACGTATTGCAAAGTTGGATCTCACTAATTTACTCCATCTACCATACTGTTCAGAAATGGCACCATGTGACCATGAAATGATATCATATGGGAAACTTGACTCAAAAGAGTAGGAAGGATTGTCAAGATCTTGTTGAAAAGATGGATTTGTAGAATTATTTCACAACAGCTTTAAGAATCTTGCCCCTGATTGGCAGAGGTTTGTAGTAAGTGGTGGTGATTATGTGAAGAAGTAAAAGAACAGCTACCAAATCTTATTTCAAGGATTATTTTCCTGTTTAATTTATTAAAATATCCATTTATAAACTAAGGTTACGGAGGTGGAAATGTTACTCTTTATTCTGTCTTTGTAATTTTATGTTTTGCCCTAAATATGATGTTCTTTGATTAATGTACAGCAAAATATTGCCTAGAAACAAAATATTGTTTATCTGTGTTGAAATTACTCTGCAAATAATTTAAACTGCCCTATAACCAAATCGTTTTCGCTTTTTGCAGATTTGATGGAAGAGTGGTTGCAAAACTCCCATTCATACCACTTTCCTACATTCAGGGTTTGTCTCATCGTAATCTTCTGGGTGAAGATTGCACAGATTGTTCCTTCATCTTTCTCTATATTCTCTGCACTATGTCTATTCGGCAGGTAAGGGCTGCTTTGGGTTTTACTTCTGCGGATGAATAACCATAACTTGTATATAACTGGAGAATTAGAAGCAATGACTGGTGTAGTTTGCTACTGATGGATATGTTGTGTAAACATTTTAAAATTTCAATAAAATGGAACACTTGGCTATATTTTTCTCATTTTTTGGTGTCCATGTCTGTGAGTTTGTGTATTTTATGTTTATGTATGTATGTATGTGCTGGATTAGGAATGTGCAATAAATATATGTATGTATGTATGTATGTGCTGGAATAGGAATAGGGAAACCTAGATTCTAGTCAGAAGCTGGCTGGGTGACTTTGGACCAATCATTCTCTCTGGATTCTAGACTCTTTATCTTATGTGTCTGTGAGTGGTAGATTATAACCCATTACCTTCAAATTATCATCCCAAACCATCATCATCCAGTGTATTGATTTGGGAGGAGGAGGATAGTTATGATCTTCATCATCATCAGGAATCAAATGTAATCCTAGAATGTTTGTTGTGCCTTTGCTAGTATATGTTATATTTTTAGTAACTGCCTTTCTTGTTTGGTACCTTAAGGAAACTCCATTATAATACATTGGGATTCCAACACTAATTCTGAAAAGCTAGGGATAATTAGATTTATTCTGAGTTCAGAAATATGTTTTGTTAAATTGTTTATTAAAAGCAAAGCCAATTAATTTTATTGGAACAACTTCAATTCCAATACATATTTTCTGAAATATTGAGGATACTATATTTTATACTTACACAGGGTCTTGCTTGAAAATACATTTTACCCAGACTAACTTGGATAACAAAAGTTGGCAAAATCTAAATTCTAATTCGATTTGTATGTGTTTCAGAGAAAAATTGAATAGTCAAGGTAGTTAACAGTATTAAGTGAATCAGAGCAAACAAAAATTTCAAAATACAAAATATAAAGTACAGACATAAAAATAAATATTATATGATATACTATATACTACGCTATACTATATAATAGATATTTGATGATTGAATGGTGACTTAGAAGGTGGTAACACTTAGCTAGGAATTCCTAAATTGAGGTGCTTCTAAATTGAAAAGTTGGGAAAACAGGAGAAGGCAATAGCAAATCATTTCTCTAATACTATAAAGAAAATTGAATAGATGCAATAACCAGGAATTGAAATTATTAAATCAATCAGCTTATTTGTATACTGGAATTTAAATCTTTTTATCTCCTTTATTTCTTACAGGAGAATATAAGTACTGAAATTATACTTAAATGTACTTAATATTGCCTTTTTATTTCTTGATAATCAGAATGGTACAGATTAAGCACACCTACTTTTTCAGTTTATAAATGTGTAAGTGTAAATGAAGCTATCAATTATTTGAGGTTGATTAACAATGTTTGCATATGGTTTTGACTATTTATTAAGGGAAAATTTGTTTTATTTTAAATACACTACTCAGTTCTTGTGTCTTTTTTGCTCCTTTATCAGAATATTCAGAAGCTGTTGGGTCTGGCTCCTTCCCGAGCTGCCACCAAGCAAGCTGGAGGATTCCTTGGCCCCCCACCTCAAGCTGGGAAGTTCTCCTGAAATAAGAGAAATACTTTTATCTCTCTTGCCAATGAAAATATTTAAAAATATTCAGATTTTATAGAAACGTTTCTAAAAATATTTTGGTACCCAAGATATCTAGTAACATCTATTTTATGAATTGAACCATATTGAATAGATATCTTTGGTTGTCTCTCAGTTTCCAGGATGGAGCGAAGGTACTTTCATGAAAATTTTAAAATCTGGAAAAGCTTGTAAGAATACATATTGAACTTAAATATGGGATGGGGATTCATATAAAGTTGGAGTTTTTTAAAGACATGATTCCACTCTTACTGATAAACAAAAAAGAATTTCCATTATGCCTAACTATTTGTCTTCCCTCTTGCTGCCATTTTTCACATGTTAATTTAATCCAACATTAACTGGATTTCTCTAGGAATTTATAAGAAAGATCATACATTGTCACAATATTTGATATTAATGGATAATGGAGGCTTTATTAAATTATGACAGAAAATTTGGCAGGAGATACTTAACCTCCATTAATTATTGTAATTTTATTTTATAGAAATAATCAACAATTTTTTCCTCAGAGCATATTTCTAGATGTTTATTGTATCTCCTTTATTTTCCCTTTTGAAAGCTAAAGATGCCCATCTCTTTTAGCCATTCCTCACTGAGCTTGGTTTCCAGAAACATTATTACCTTAGTATCTCTTCTGAAACCATTCCAACTTCTGCAATGTCTGTTTTATAGCATGATATCTAGGACTGGACTCAATAATCTTAATTGTGGTCCATTCAGTGCTGAATATAATACAAGTACCATACTACCTGTTTTGATCTGGATTCAGTGCCTCTGCTAATACAGCTTACCCCTCCACTAGCTGCATCACACTATTTATTCTTGTTTATCTGGCTGTTCACTAGAAAGGTGAATCTTTACAGTTGTAGCTAATCTGCTTAGGTAAATGTCATCTGCAAATGTTGTGGCTGTCCTATGCTATTCTAGGTTCATTTATAAAGACACTGAAGAGTATCGGACCCTGAAAATCGCATTCATTATTTCTCTCCAGGATAGTGTGGAGCTATTCATGTGTATTTTGGGGTAAAATTGTTTATCCAGTTGCAAATCCATTAGATCAGGGCTTTTCAACCTTTTCACCCATTGTACCACTTTTAGGATAAGGCAATATCCGAGTACCACCAGTCGCCTGGCAAGGTGTCAAAAACTTAACCCCCCAAAAAAGGAAAAAAGTGATAAAATACTGGTAGTCCTCAACTTACAACAGTTTGCTTAGTGACTGTTCAAAGTTACAACGGCACTGAAAAAAGTGACTTATGACCATTTTTCACACTTATAACCATTCCAGCATCCCCAGGGTCACATGATTTACATTCGGATGCTTGGCAACTGTTTCATATTTATGACGTTCACAGTGTCCCAGGGTCATGTGATCCCCTTTTGCAACCTTCTGACAAGCAAAGTCAATGGTGAAACCAGATTCACTTAACAACTTTTTATATCAGGGGTGTCAAACTCAATTTCATTGAGGGCCGCATTAGCATTCTGGTTACCGTCCGGGGGGGGGTCCTTCCTTTTTCCCTCCCTCCTTCTCATTCACATCTTCCTTCCTTCCTTCCTTCCTTCCTTCCTTCCTTCCTTCCTTCCTTCCTTCCTTCCTTCCTTCTTTCTGCAGGACTGTCAGCGCTCAGCAGAAGTGCCAGAAAGACAATTAAATCAGGTATGAACTATGGTGCTAGAGAAGACTCCTGCGAATCCCCTGGACTGCAAGGCGTTCAAACTGGTGTCAGGATCTTCTCTAGTTGGGGCTGACGAGAAATCTTCCGGTCTAGGACTTCAACTTTGAGTTTATGAAACCGGTGGATTACTCTTCCTTCCTGAGTGACCTCTTCCCGGATTACGACCCTTTCTAACTCCCGTTATCTTCTTCCCCTGCTGTCTCTTACTCCACCGACCTACGAGTCACTGAAGCAGTAGGCATGAATTTAAATGGACTCCAGAAGATGGTAGAGGACAGGAAGACCTGGAGGAATGTTGTCCATGGGGTCGTGATGGGTCGGACACGACTTCGCAATTAACAACAACAACATCATTACACATCAGTCATGCAAGAAGAGAAAGGCATTCAAAAAGAGAAGCCACCTTCTGGTTGGTGATTCAATTATAAGGGATGTAAATTTAGGAAAGGACACAGAGGTTTCGAAAGAGGTCAGAGGTCTTCCACGTGTTACTGCCAGTAGGGACGAGAAGCGTATTTTTAAAATAATCAAGAATGCCAGCAAGGACTGTGATGTGGAGGCTATTGTACATCTTGACACTAAAGATGTACTCTCTGTGCAGAATGATTTCCAGAGCTTGGGGCAGGAACTTAGCAGGATAGGCTGTAGGTTTACTTTTCAGAGGTTTTATCAGTGTATAAGGAGCAAAATGGAAAAGGCCAGCATATAGCAGAATTCAATATGTGGCTAAAGGAGTGGTGTAAAGGGGAAAGCTTTGGTTATATTAGTCACGATGTCTGTAGCTGGTCCAATGAAAAAATGTACAAAAGAGATGATTTGCATCCATCAAAGAAGGGGACTGGATTACTTGGCAATCAATTCACAGATTTTCTGGAGGAATATTTAAACCAAACGGGGACAGGGAGTTAATTGATACAGAACATCCCTGTCCCCGGCAATCTAAAAATTATAGGGCTATCAGTGCATGTAACATAAATGTGTGTGTGGACAAGAATATCAACCTTGCTGTCAAGCAAAATCAAGCTTTTAATAGAGACTCACACAAAGTGCACTAACCAAACAGGTGGTAAGAAAATAGGGGGACTCAGGCACCACATAGATTATGTAAAAAGTAAACACAGGGTCAATCATAAAGGACTCAAATGTCTATACACCAATGCACAGAGTATGAACAGTAAACGGTGAACTAGAAATTCAGGTTAATGAGGGCAGATATGATATTGCTACCATTACAGAAACATGATAGGATGAAACCCACAAATGGAACACTCAGCTGGAGGGATTTCAATTATTTAAAAGAAACAGACCAAATACAAGAGAAGGTGGAGTTGCTCTTTATATAAGAAATAACTACATCTCTACAGAAATAGAGCACAACAATGATGAAAACTGTCTTGAATGCATTTGGGTCAATATAAAGGGGGGAATGTCATTGCCATAGGTGTATACTATAGGCCAGACATGTCAAACACAAGGTCCGCGGGCCGGATGCAGCCCGGGGAGGGCCCAGATTTGGCCCCCTGCGGCTGTTCCAGAAATGGCAAGGGACCGGCCCCACTGCCCCAGCCCTGGCCCACCGCAACCCAGCTGGGTGCCTTGGAGCACGTGCAAGAAACAGCAAGCATTCGGGCTGGTGGCGTGGAGCAGCAGCAGCTCATTTGCTTTAGCCCGCCCCTCCCCTCCCAGCTTAACCCTGTCAGGCCCGGTCAGGAGTGGAAGAGGAGGAGGAGGAGGAAGCTGAGGTGTTACAAAAAAGGAGAGCTTTCCCCATTCTTCCACCCCTTCTCTCTTTTTTTTAACTTCCACTCCGTTCAGGTGCAGCTGAGGAAAAGGACAAGGAGAAAACAGGAAGGGTGTGTGGGTGTGTGTGTGTGTGTGTAAGAGACAGAGAGAGAGAGCCAGGAGGGGAGGAGAAAGCCGAGGTTTTACAAAAAAGGAGAGCTTCCACCTTTCTCCCCCCTCCTCTTTTTTATTAACCTGTGTGTGTGTGAGAGAGAGAGAGAGAGAGAGATTGAGCCAGCAGGGAGTTGCAGAGTAAGCAAATTTACAAAAAGGGGATCTCTCTCTCTGTCTCTCATACACATACATTTGTTTCTTCTGCCTAATTTATTAAATCAACATCTAATTTGAAATTAAAAGTTTCTGAGAAATCCAGGATGGTTTACAAGAAAACTCTCAAAGACAGCTATTGTAAAGCATCACTAGCACTGCTTAAAACAATATTAAAAGTATGTATTTTAAGAAAGAAAAATAGTAGTAGTAATTTACTTAGTGCTGTTTGACCATAAAATGTGTTGTTGTTTTACATATGCCTGGCTGAACAGTGTGTTTGGAGTTGCCTCTAAACGGGTGAGGG